GAGGGATAGGACATCATCTATCTCATATCTACAATACAGTCCTTTCAACAGTTTCAAGAAGGCTCCACGCCCATTTGCACCAGTCAGGTGACCCCAGACGACCCAGATAAACCTCCAGGTGGCCTCAGCAACTCTCTAAAACATGGGTGTCAAACTCACCGTGTCACATTGCCGTCACGTGATGTTTCGCGACCTTTCCTCCATCACGGAGCTGAAGTGGACGTGGCCTGCATGTGACACATCCAGCCCGTGGGCCACGAGTTTGACACCCCTGCTCTAAAAGAATGCAAATGACCAGCTCTCTGCAAGGAGCATAAATCCTTCCATTCCCCACCATCCAGTCAGAGCTGAAGAAGCTTCTTGGATGAGAAGCGAAACGTCTTCAAAAAAAAAAAAACCCAAGGAAGCCCAGTTGCCTCTTGAAAAAGCATCTTTGGGACAAATTCACTGGGAGGCTATTGGAATAAAAGGCTACTCCTGGGAGCCACTTATTTTGAGCATGACTAGGCAGGAATCCCTATCAAGGTGTCCCTTCAATGCATGTATTTGGGAGCAAACCCCTGGGGGTAGCAGAAAGGGCTGACGGTATATAGGATGGCGCTGGGAGGAGGTCCAAAATAAGGCTCCTTCATTAGAGCTTAAGCTTCTGGGAACTTAATATACCTGTACTTTTCTTGGCAGCAGTTTAGTTGACAATGTCCTTGTGGGTTTGTATCACCGTATTAATTAGGTCCCGGTCCTGCTTAGTTTTTTACCCCCACAAGGTCCTCCCAATCGGTGGGTTTCAAATTTTTTTACAATCGGTTCTGTGAGTGTGGCTTGGTGGGTGTGGCTTGGGTGTGGCAGGGGAAGGATACTGTAAAATCTCCATTCCGTCCCCATTCCAGGGGTTACTGCAAAATCCCCATTTCCTCCCGATCAGCTGGAACTTGAGAGGCAGAGAATAGATGGGGGGGGGACCAGTCAGAGGTGGTATTTACCAGTTCTCCGAACTACTCAAAATTTCCATTACCGGTTCTCCAGAATTGGTCAGAACCTGCTGAAACCCACCTCCGCTCCCAATCCGATAATTACAGTCCTACTCAGCTTAATTGGGAAAAACAGAAGCATTCTCTTCTTGTTTTAAATAAAACTCCTCCCTCTCCACCACCACCACTCCTTCCTCACTAGGCATATTTTGCTGATGAGCCATGAGGGGATAAATCTGGCAGTTTTAGCCCATGGAGATTTCTCCTAGATCCAGAGTATCAATATTATGAGGAGAAACATTAGAAGGTACACTGCAGGGGCATCAGCAACTAATTTGAGGTGGGCTGGGGAGAACTGGTCCAGGAAATAACTAATATTTGGATTACAGCTAACTTTATAATTTTTCAAAATGATTTTTTTTAGATTTTCACATAATTATAGGAATACAGTCATGCTAGGAATTGCACCATAAAAATAGTTACTTTAAATAATTTAAATAGTCATGGGATGAGAAGTTCTTAACTATTTTTTCTTTCTCCTTTAAATTTTATTGCGGCAAATGAGAGTCTATTAACTTTTAGGCAAGTCATAAAAGCAGTGGAATGGAGTAAATTGGGAACCCACACCCGGGATTGTGTTTATGGTCATTGAGGAACAATAATTTTTATTTGATTTGCTATTATGTTGTTTTACTATTTTAATCTCTTTTCTGAAAGAATGGAATGCAGGACCACTAGCATCCTTTGGTTTTGAACAGCATTTTATCATTAGATGTAAATAAATAAAACATCAATGTAAATGAAATAGACTGCTATGGATTCAATGTATCACATGTTCCAAATAGCATACAAGTGTATTGATTACATTTGTATTGGTATTTTCATCTTTCCAGTGGTCAAGACTTTAAACCTGGAGTGAGACAAAACTAAGACTGCAGGAGAAATGTCTATAATCATTCAGGTCATGGGTGTCCCAAAGGTGCTTTTTCCAAAAGGCAACTGGACTTTCTTGGGTTTTTTCTTTGAAAACATTCTTTTCTTTGAAAATATTTTGATCAGAAGTAAAACATTTTCAAAGAAAAAACCAAGAAAGTCCAGTTGCCATTTGTTCTATAAAAATAGTTTTTATTGAATATAAATATTAAAAAAGACATACGTAACATATACACAATAAACATTTATACAACATATACACAAAAAGAGTGTAATTTCTTCTTAAGCATTTCTTCAGAGTGACGTTCTACAATTCTATTTATGATATATTCCTTCACCTCTCCTTAATCTAATAACATTTTTTATTATATATATATATATTTAAATCGGTAATATTTCCCCTATATTTTTTGTATATTTCTGATTTTTAACCAATTATACCAATTATTCCATATTTTATAATAGTCTGATTCTTCTCTTTCTTGTAATTCTTTGGTTAACCTGTCCATTTCAGCGCATTCTAAAATTTTCCCTATTACTTCTGTTTCACTTGGTATTTTTTCTTGCTTCCAATTTTTTGCGTAGGTTATTCTTGCAGCAGTTAATATGTGAATTGTGAGATATTTGATATCCTTAGGATATGATTTGTTAAAGATTCCTAATAGAAATGTTTCTGGTTCTTTTTCAATCTGTGTTTTTGTTATTTGTTCCAACCATTTTTTGATGTTAGACCAAAATTTCTTTGCTGCTGGGCACGTCCACCATAAATGATAGAAAGTCCCTTGTGCCTTTTTGCACTTCCAACAAATCAGGCTATTTTTAGGTTGTATTTTTGCCAATCTGGTTGGAGACATATGCCACCGATAAAACATTTTCAGTTGGTTTTCCTTGTACACAGTTGCTTTCGTTAAATTTAGGTTTACCTGCCAGAACTTTTCCCATTTTTCCAAAGGTATTGTGTGTTTGATGTTTTGAGCCCACTTAATCATCGTTTCTTTGATTGTCTCTTCTTCCAATTTATAGCGTAGAAGGAATTTATAAATTCTACTAATTAATTTATTTTCTGAATCTAATATAATTTTATCTATTTCTTGTTTTTGATTATAAATTTCGTATGTTTTTATATGTTCTCTGTATTTGGATTGTATTTGAGTATAAGTCCACCAGTCTATTTCTCTGTGTAAATCTGTCTCCAATTGTTGTTTTGTCTTTAATTTGCCTTGATAGTCAATTATATCTTTATATCTAATTATTTTTGTCTTATCTGTTAAATTTGGGTGCCTAATTGATTCTGCTGGCGCTAGCCAATTTGGTATCTTCATATAATGTTGTTTTTTAATTTTAAGCCAAATTTGTAATAATGAGTTTCTTATTGTGTGTCTTTTAAAATATGAATGTGTTTTGTATTTCTCATCCCACATAAAGGAGTGCCAGCCAGTTTGGAGTTCGTGTCCCTCAATTGTTAAAATTCTAGAGTCCTTTAATTCTATCCAATCTTTGACCCACGATAGTACTGCTGCTTGGTAATATACCTCCCAATCAGGGAGTGCAGCTCCTCCTCTATCTTTTGTATCCTGAAGCAGCTTAAATTTTATTCGTGGCCTTTTCCTTTGCCATATAAATTTAGATGTTATTTTATTCAGCTTTTCAAAAAACAGTTTATCTATTTTAATTGGGGTGACCTGAAACAAATATAAAAATTTAGGTAATATAGTCATTTTGATGGCCGAAATTCTTCCTAGGAGTGAAATGTGTAAATTTTCCCATTTTTCTAAGTCTTTCTTTGTTTGTTCTAGTAATTTAGTCCAGTTGCCATTTGGAAAAAAAGTACCTTTGGGACTGCAGGAGAAATTAAGAGTATAGATTTGACTATGGAAAGCATTGAAATATTTACTGTGACCATGGAAAAATAGATATATAACTAGGAATTTTATTCTGAACTTCCTTGTTGAAAATTAAAGCATTATAGGACTGGCATAAATGTATGTTATCTTCTGATGATTTTAAACTGTTGCTATAGCTTGCAAGTTGTTTACAGAATAAAAAGTATTGGGTGATTTAGGAACAGATAAATAATTGGAATGTTTATTGTGTCAGGTTTCTATAGAACAACTATAGGAGCTTTTAGAATAACCAACTTTTGTGCCAAAGGAACAGTCATAAGGACAGGCTTAGTCTGGCAACAGAGAGAAAATTTGATTATATATAAATCCTCTTCCTCTGTAGACCAGCAATTTAAGAGATCAGGAGGAAGGTGGGTGTGGCACTCTACTCCTCAGCACAGACTGACTCACGTATTGTATTCAAAACTAACATTTGTTCTGTCATTTAATAAGTATTTTCTCTAAAAGCAATCTAACTGTTAGTTAGAATTATGAAATAGCGATGAAAGATCAAGCTGCACACAAATAGTGTCTTGGAGGGATTGTTCCTTCAGTTTTGCCAAGATTCTGTCCTGTATAATAAAACTAGTTGTGTTGTATTCTCTGGCTTAGGAATTGAATTAAAGCAGAGTATTTCTGTCTTCCAGCTTCCAAAGCCAGAAGAAACCAGTTCTGTTTTAGAACTGGGTGAGCAGACAGAAAAGAAGACTTGCACAATGAGCTTGAGTGCTAAAAACAATGTGGTAAAGGTAGAAGTGGGGTATGAACAAAAAGGTTAATGATACTGCAAAATATAAGTAGGACTTTGTAAATTAATGCAAAGTTCTGCATAATGTTTCTCGGATAGTATTCCAACTACTACACAATGGTAAGGGAAGAGAAAGACATATTTCTGAAGGGCTAAATTTGGCCTTAGGTATCATCTTCCAACTCTCCGTTTTAATTTATTGATTAACATCATTAAGAATGCCATGAAACCATCAGTGAAGAAAATAAAGAGCCCATTTTTGACAGGATAAAAATAACATATGATTGACAAGTAAGGAAATATAGAAGGGTTTTGGACTTATTCCAGTAAAAGCTGTATTTTACCAGCATGTGCTTTCCCAGAACATGATTATCAACTTTTGTTTGAAATTTCAGTAGGAAATAAACAATAGACAATCACCACTATATCTTAGTGATCATATGCAAAACTAAAACAGAGTCTTCAAAAAACTTTATGTAGAGAGGCTTTATTCAAAAAGAATAGAAAAAGCAGACTTGGACCCTTTTCAAATGATGTATTCAGAAAAAAGAAATAACGTGTCTCTTAATCCTGAAACAAGCACAGTGGCTCTTTGTTCTCTTTTAAAAGCTTCTCTACTGATACACTTTATTGCTTCCAAGTTTGCAAGTGTTACTGAGTACATTTGACTTACATAGATATTTGAAAGGCTTCCCATAAAATTTCCAGTAAATAATTTAGTTATCTAGTAATAAACTGACCACAATCCAGAAACTAAGGCATTGCAAATTACTTTAAGACAGAAGTCTACCTAGGTATCATTTTTCTGTTTCAAAACCATCTAACCAACCTTCCTATCAAATAATTTATAATTTTCAAAAAAAAGGTTCAATTCAGTGGGTGAAGAGTATTTAATATTGAATAAATGTTATTACATTCTTGCATTAGAACTTTGGGGTATTTAGATTTGTATAATGTAAGAAATCTAAGAATTTAGACTAAAGTTTACCTAGTGTAATTATTTTCTTTCCACTACACTAGCCAGTCAGATGACCTCAAGACATCTTAAAAGTAAGGCATAAAGATAGCAGCAACCCCTTACTGCTACCGATTTTTAAATTTCCACTTAAGTGTAATAGACAGGCTATTGATAGGTCAAAGTATTCTTCATGATATGTCACACTCTAATTTTGGTACCAGGCTTTTAATAACTGAAGTGTGTTTAAGATTGAAAATACATTTTGTTTATCCTATACAGATAGATTTTCCTCCTCTTTCTACTCTGTATACACTACGGTCACAGAGATTCACATACACAAGATTATTTTCATTGTATCATGCTGAAAAAAAATTACATCCAGACTTTAAAAGATTGGAGGTCTGACTTTCAGAGTAGGGTTTTTCCAAATCATGTTTGTGGACATGCCATCTATGTGTTCAGTTTCACTCATACAATTCTAGAAAATTCATTTTTCCCTTCTCCCCCCACCCCCCAGTTATTCAAAGCACAAAGTAATTTTGGGCTAATTTTAATGCTTCCAGACACCAATATGCTTTGGGCCAATCCTGCATTCCTATCATTTCAATTCATATAGATTAAAGTCAACTTTTAGGTTGATCCGTAGGGCTGTGACTTCCTTCTTACTTCATTTCAACATCTGCTCTTTTGAATCTATATGTTTTAAAGTGCTTGAGTTCCTAGCCAATATTTTCTTTCATTAACAACCAGTATGGACTTCAGAAGACTTAACTAAGGCGAATGTTTACAGAGAGGTTAGAAATGGAAGAGTAGAATATGAAATGAAAATCTGAACTGTCAAAAGCAAGTAAACTAGCCTGGGTTGAAACATACTCATGTTCATAAATACTGCTGTTTTTTTTAAAAAAAATAGGCAAAGCAAACCATGTTCAGAGTAAAACAGAAACAGATTTAAGAGAAATACAATCCTCTTAACTGTATAGTTTTGTTGAGAATTCCAATCCAGAACAGAGATTGTCTTTATTTCGACCTATTGCCTGAGAGAAGCAGCATTTCTAACACTTAATTTCCTTTAAACCTACAATATTATTTTTTTGCTCCTATACATATCTTTATGTATGTAAAGATTTGGCTCTACAGAAACCATGGAAGCCTACTATATCCCAGTGAAGACAAGAACAAACATGGCTTCCTGTACCATATTGACATTTTGAAAGTGATAGGATCTACTGGTCCTCCAAAAATAAGATGTCCACCTCACTGTATGGTCATGACTTAGCACTTAGACTTACATATCACTTCATAATGCTTTTCAGACTTCTCTAAGCAGTTTACAGAGTCAGCATATTGCCCCCAACAATCTAGATCCTCATTTTACTGACCTCGGAAAAATGGAAGGCTGTGTCAACCTTGAGACGGTAAGAATCGAACTGCTGGCAGTCAGCAGAATTAGTCTGCAATACTGCATTCTAACCACTGAACCACCACAGCTCTAGAAAGTCTCATGATACTTTCTTTGTAGCAACATATATTCAAAGAGGAAGAAAAATTTAAGACACCATTGGTTAATGCATAGGCACTTAGGAGCCATCCACTTTAACTTGCAGTTTCAGTGTTGAAACTTTATTGTCTCCATAAAAGGCCTTGAAATGCAGAAAATATTCACTTTGGTTATAGCAGTGCATATAATTCCACTCAGGTTGCTTCAAGTGGCATGATACATTCCTCTAGAAAATGCCCTCAAATTATAAAACAGGGATGAACAATTCTGCTTAACATTTAAGAAACTAGCAGTAGAGATTAATAAATAAGAATTCTGCACTCATACTGGGAAAGAAGTCCACCAGTTGACTTCAATATAAGCTTAACTGCTACCAATAGACTTCCTCAAAACCAAAAGTCCCATACAAGCAATATTATGGTCAGTTTGCTTGTTTTAGAGAACAAGATAATTAATAACCAAAAAGGTGAATGTCCTGTTTTTACTAAGAGTCTGTAAGAAAACCTGATAACAGTAATTTGTTATGCTTCAAGTAATATCAGATGCTGTCATAAGACTTGCATCCTGTACATTTTGTTTAAAGTGCTCCTTAGTGCTTGGGTATCTTCCTATCTGGATAATTTCTCTGGAAATCTGAACCAAACCCAGTTGAATAGACCACTGTATCAGGAAGGAAGTGAGCATGAAAAAGAGGCACTTCTCTTCGTGTGATGTCCTTTCCCCCAGCTTTTGCATTTTTGCATAATACAATATTCTTTCAGCTCCTTTGCATTCAGATGCTTGTTATATAGATTACTTCAGGAGGACTGTTTTTCATAGGCACAAATTCAGTTGGCACTTCTGTGTATTTTCCTTTGGAGGGATCTTCAGGGGGTGGCTTATTAGTTTCTTTCAATTTGTTTTTTGCTTCCAATGTGCAAAAGCTAATACCCATGAACAGAGCAGCTGATACCATGATGAAGCTGGAAGCATAGAAAACATAACTAAAGTGTCCTGTAACATCCACAAGAAGACCTGAAAAAGAAAAGATACATGACTATAAAAAAATATACACTATGTTTGGCGATCAAATGTAGAATCAGGATATCTTAAATACTCAGTCACCAATGAATCAATACGTAAAATGGTCTATGAAGTCTGGTCTAGAGCTAGCCCAACCCATGAAGTCAGTAACAGGTTTCCTACATTTGGCAGAGGAGCATCAATAAAGATAAACTCAACATAACTGTTGACCTAGAATCATTGTGATATTAATTACCTTTGCTTTCCACTATTTTCACATTCTTTTTGCCATCTCTAACTCTTGTACTGTCATTATTAACTGATAGTATATGAAGCTGCAGTTGCCACCTAGATTTATCCTGAGCTGTTCAATTATTCTGTGTCCCATTTAAACAAACAAGAAATGTCCATTTAATCAATGCAACTTATTAACTCTCTGTTAATTCTTCAACAACATTCCAAACACAATCTGTTATAAGAGAAAATCAGAGCTGCTTCTTATCTGAAGCAGTTTCTAGATCCCTTCAGATGTTTGTCTGCTCCTTGCAGGTTTCAATCATTTCCAGTATATTTTAATACAAAGCATACGACAGAATCATCATTTGCTAATTATGCAGGCAACTGTATTTTAAGAATGAAAAAAAAAAGGTTTGCGGCATATGAATTTAACATGCGGCTTTCCCAACCTTTTCAGATATTGAAATTGCCTATATATCAGAAAAAGTGTTTCTCAGCATCCACTAGTACACTATATATCAAAATCTTTTCCAGAGGGTTTGGATAGACTCCTGATGTATGTTGGAGATAGTACAAGTAGGAAAAATTGATGAAAAATGCCTGCCCCTTCTGTTAACAGACACTCTAAAGAGAATCAAAATCCCTTTGGATTCAGCTGATCTTTGGATCTTTGCCGTTTTGTGAAATTTTGTACAAAAGTCCTTAAATTATATAAAATATTTATTCATTTCAAAATTAAACATGTTAGAAGACATTTAAACTAACTACCAAAAGTGTTTAAGAGTTAATCTGTACAGGTAGAAAGGAAACTAATTTGTTGTTCTTTAATTTTAATCTCTGCTTATTTAATAAATATATTTTTTGTCTAAGTATTGTAACATTTTGTAAGTATCAGCATGCTCACCAAGGAGAAAGATTCACTGAATTCCCCAGGACTCACTTGTGAGTAAAAATGCTTAAAATTTCACCAGTATAAAGTTTTTTACGCCTGCATTTTAGCTAAAATATTTCTATTTTTTTAAAAAAAGCAAGCAACTGAGAGAAGAGAAGCAGCACAGAGGGAATTTAACTTTTTTCTGCCATTCCAGTTGTTTTCCTCAAATTTATGCCAAACTTGAATCACTGTGGAATTTAGATTATTTAGCAACAACTGAAAGATGAATAAGAGATTTATTGGACTAGAATTTGGCTATGGCAAGGGCTATAAAGAACAAGTAGATAGATAGCAGAGCTAAAAGCGAAAGAAGATAAACACTAGATGTTCTATTAAGGAAAGTTGTTTGCTAATTACTTGGTTGCTACTCTTATATAATCCCTTTTTTTATGCTGACTGCTGTAATCTTAAATCTCTAAAACCTTAATACTTGCCATTTAAAGCTGCAGTAATCATTCTGCAGAGAATTGTGCCACGAATGCTAAAAGGAGCATGGAACTAAGCAATATGGTGGCCTTAATTTCACTGGATGCGTTCAAGTGGAGGCTAGATAGCCATCTGACTGATGGCATAAATGACCTCTTAAGTGCTACAATACAGTTAATTCTGATTACATGCAAAATCTGTACCAACAGAACCACTGGGGCCAATTCCTGTATACCTCTTACCTGCAAGAGGGGGTCCAATCAGAATGGTGATACTTTCCAAGATGGTGAAAAGACCCAAGGCACTAGAGAACCTGTCCATTTCCACTACGTCCATTAGCACTTGGAAGAGAAGTGCACCGATGACACTCATGGAGACACTATAGACCGAACAGTAGAGGACAAGAATACTATAGTCAGCTGAAACAGCACAGATGAGATTGCTCAGGCCGTTGAACATCACAGCTGCGCTAAAGAGGTATTTCCTCCTGCCAGTGAAGATACTAAGGCCTGAGAGAAGGCCTGCCATTGGACGCATAAATATGTTGATGAATCCGATAATGGAAATTAGGAGGGCTGCTTTCTGTTCCTCCACTCCATTCAAGATGGCATAGGGCACCAAGTAAACGAGAGGCAGCACAAAACCCATCACCATCCAGGTAACTCCAAGGGTATAGATTTGGTAGCCTTTGTTCTTGCAGAAGATATCAAAAGCTAGGTACTTCTTCAGGGTCTGGGAACACGCAGTAAATCTTGACTGACATTGTTCTTTATGATGCGAAGAGTTACCATTCGGCATTCCTCCAGTTGACTGTTCAGAACAAGATTTGAGTGAAAGGGCAGTCAGCTTACCTGGGACTGGCCTCATCACAGCCCCACACACGCAGCAGTTCAGCAACACTCCCCCAAAGATTAGAAATGAGTTTCTCCAACCCATCTCATCAAGCAGGTTTTGGGAAATTAGTGGCCACAGCGTCATGCCAAGGGAAACCCCAGTGGAGGCCAGGGCATTGGCTAATGCTCGCCGTTGTGTAAAATAATAGCCAAGTACGGTGACACTTGCTTGGAAGCTAAAAGATGATCCCAGGCCTTTAAATTAAAAAAGGAAAACAAAATATGAGTCTGCAGTGATAACATTTGTTTTATTCATTTATGTGTATGTATGTATGTTTATGATAATCAGAATTCACCTACCTTAAAGTATATTAAATGAATTATTTTGGGGCACTACTTAGAACAAAGGTGGGCTATGAACAATATTCTTAATCTACATTACTTAATATTAATTCCAATAGAATGTATCTGATTATTAAATCTCAGAGGTTTCTGAAACAATCTTACCCCATCTCCTACTAAAAATACTACTCCTTTGATGACATTTGAGGCTGCAATCACCACAATGCAGATAACTGAGATGAACTTCTTTAATGCTACTGACGCTACTGAAAATCTGAATCAGCATCACAATCCATACATCGAGTATCTATCACCATTTGCAACTTGGATTCATGTTACGCAGGAATATAAACTCTGTAAAGGAACCAAACAGGAAAGCATGCAAACCATCCCATTCAGGGGTGGGTACTACTTACCTCTGCTACCGATTCGCAAAGCAACTTCTGCGCATGTGCAGATCGTTCATGATGAAGTCCGGGTGGGTGGTCAGAGCCTCCCATCACCATTACTACCGGTTCACAAGAACCGGACTGAACCAGGAGCAACCCACCACTGATCCCATTGTACTTTTACCATACTCACCGGTAATGAATCCGGCTGTTAGGTAAAGCTCGCTAAGTGAGTTGGAGAAAGCACTGGCAACCATGCCCACTCCACTGAGCAGGCCTCCCACCATGACTGTTATCCTGCAGCCAAATCGCTCCACCAAAATGCTACAAAGAGGACCTGAGAAGGGAACATTAAACAGAAATTTCAGATTCAATTTCAAAAAAATACAGTGATCAGCATAGTCAAATAGTTGCATTTGTTAGATTTATATCCTATGGGAATCTCATTTCAATTTATCTCAACAATTATAACCTGGGGGGGTAGGTTGGGCTGAGGAAACATGACTAGTCAAGTTACTCAATGTCAGTGAGTTTCCATAATGAAGAACAAGCACAAACCTAGGTCTTCCCTAGCCTCATTCAACACTTCCACATTATGTTCTGTGCTCCTCCCTGCACATTTGTTGTTTCTGCTGCTGCTGCTGCTGTCGACATAGTCAAAGCTGTGTTACATAAAGATAGAATTCTGAAGAAAGATAAAATAATCTTGTGTTTGGGAAAAAACAAAACAAAAGTGTCTTATATAGAGTATTGTCATGTCTATTCTATGTTTAGCCTATCTGAATGTTATTTGGGAATCTGAACTTGAAAATGTGGCCACACGGAGAGAGGAAAGAAGAATGGTGTAGATGCCAGTTTCAGATAAAGTTCAGAAGACAAATTGGATGATTCCCATGTTTTTTACAAAGCAAGAAATAATCTGAGAACATGAAAGGGAATCTGAATATAATATCAGTCTGAATATATTGTGCCAAATAAGGAACAAAATCAGTATAATTGACATAAAACACTTGAGATGAAGCAGGAAAATAATTTGAATAAAGACATTTTGTTTAACAAGAATGTAAAATTAAGAGAAATGTGATCCTGAGATGGAAGAAAGAAGTTACAAACAGTAATTTGTTGTAGAGAAATTCTTACTACTAATATTTATTACCGAGTAATTGTTTTTCTTCTGTCCAATTTTGTCTAATTCTTAGAAAGTGCCTGGGTAAGGAAGTACAGTTTTTTTCTTGCAAAGGTTTTTCAAAAGTGCTTTGCCATTGCCTCTTTCCTAGGACTGACAGAGAGTGACTGGCCTAAAATCATCCAACTAGCTTTCATGCCTAAGGCAGGACTACAAGTCGCCATCTCCCATTTGATGCCTTAACCACTACTCCAAATTGGCTCTCTAATGAATAAGTTATTATTATGTTATAATAATAAGCTATGAACTATCTAGGCACATATCTACAGCAGCATACAAAGACATCATAGTTAATTTTTTATACCTATCCCAAGGATACTTCCCCTCCTCCCCCGAAATGTACTTTAATTATATCCAGTTTTCCTTCTGTGTATGATTGTCTTAGGAATTACCATCAGAAAGTAGGAGGGGTGAATGGGAAGTGAAATGTCATCGTAATTTGTAATAGGCTGAAATGTACCCAAAAAGAACAAGGTGTGTCTCTGAAAAAGAACTACCATCCCACCTAGAGATCATAACATAATCATGACATCTTAGTAGCTGCTAGTGCAAGAGGGTATGATAGTAGATAGTGGTGGAATTCAAATTTTTTTACTACCAGTTCTGTGGGTGTGGCTTGGTGGGCATGACAGGGGAAGGATACTGCAAAATCCCCATTCCCACCCCACTCTGATGCCAGCCAGAGGCTGTATTTGCCAGTTCTCCAAACAACTCAAAATTTCCGGTACCGGTTCTCCAGAACCTGTCAGAACTTGCTGAAAAACACCCCTGATAGTAGAGCTTGATCTGTTTTCCCTAAGCAGTCATCTTGGATTCTTTCTGTTTCATCAGACAAGGCTGCACTTGAATTACTACTCTGTGGAAAGCGTAGAATTTTGTGCATCTGAAATTTCAGACTTGCTCTCTGCTTTAAATCTGCATTTTCTCAGGCACATTCTCAGGGCAACCAATTTTTACTTTAGAAATCTTGGCGGGCATAACTGCTTATTACAGGGAGGGGCAAGATGGCAGGTAAGCTAAGCATGAAAGACACCCTGGTAGCCAGTTCTACTCTAAGCTTTGGAATTTAGATGAAAGGCCCAAGACCTCAGAAGTTCAAATCTTTTTGTTTTCCTATTGGATCAGATTGGAGACAGCAACATGCCCTATACCGGGAAAGTTCTTGGAACGGACAAGAATTTTTTCCTTCCATGAATGTGTGCTTCTTAACGACATCGGAGCTCTCCTAAACAAATGTTGGCAACTTTTAATACGTGCAAATGAAATCTCAAATATCCTCCTCATTTACAGTGCTACAGGTAGACTTGCCTTGAAGAAAACTGGGCCAGATTATATTTTTCATGAAGTGGAGTTAGATGTGGTCATACAGTGCAGAGGTTTCTGTAATTCCCCATGTCCTTTCTATCCTGTCAATCTCATACATTTGTCAACTCAGCTATAGGCCTTACTTGGGACAAATCAAGCTCAACCCGCTTCGTCTTGTGTGTCCTTGAGAATATCATGGTGGCAAATTTCCTAACTACTCGTATTACTTAATCAGTAGTGTGGTTGTTTAATTCAGCTGAAGGTGATACCCTGCTCCTTTCCCCTATTTTCAGGTTGTTTACAGAGTGAATATCAGTAAAGCCTAACATCAATACCTGGGAAGATACTGGAAAAAATAATAAAAAAACAGATCTGTGAACATTTAGAAACAAATAAAGTTATAACTAGTAGCCAGCACAAGTTTGTTAAAAACAGATCATGCCAAACCAATCTTATTTCATTCTTTGATAAAGTGACTAAATTAGTAGACAAGTTAAATGCTGTGGACATAGTATACTTAGACTTCCGCAAGGCATTCAACAAAGCAGACCACAACCTACTTCTTGGTAAACTAGAAAAATGTGGGATAGACAGCATCACTACCAGTTGGATTTGTAACTGGCTAACAAATTGTACTCAACAAGTGATCCTTAATGGTACTACATCTACATGGAGGGAAGTAAGCAGTGGGGTACCACAAGGCTCCATCTTAGGCCCAGTATTTTTCAATATCTTTATAAATGACTTAGATGAGGGAATAGAAGGGTAACTAATCAAATTTGCAGATGACACTAAACTGGCAGGAATAGCCAACACCCCAGAAGACAAGCTCAGGATCCAAAAAGATCTTGACAGGTTTGAACAATTAACCCTATCCAACAACATGAAATTTAATACCTAGGCAGAACTGGGCAGGACTACCTGTACACCCCATTCAGTAGTTTAAGCTGCCACAAATATTAATGTTTAAATATTATTTATAGATCAAGAGGGGTTAAATGTAAAATTTGTTACTACCGGTTCTGTGGGTGTGGCTTGGTGGTGGTGGGTAATATGACTGGGTGGGTGTGGCCAACTTTTTTTTAAAAAAACTTTTCAAAGCATTTTTTTTAATGCTTTGAAAAGCCTCTGCCGATCAGGCAACTCAGCTGGGATCGTCAGAGAGGCTTTTTTAAAAATGCCTCTCTGACAATCAGGCAACTCAGCTGGGATTGTCAGAGACTTTTCAAAGCATTTTTTTACCATCTCTTCGGCCAAGAGGTTGCAGAAAAAAATGCTTTGAAAAGCCTCTGACGATCCCAGCTGATTTTTTTTTTTTTTACTTTTAAAAGCAGACATAGAAAAAATGCTTTTAAAAGTAAAAAAAAAAGCCTCTGATGATCGTGCAGCTCAGCTGGGCATGGTGGGGGGTGGGGCCGCAGGGATTTTTGCTACTGGTTCTCCGAACCACCTGCCACCATCACTACCGGATCGGGTGATCCGGTCCAAACCGGGAGCATTTCACCCCTGGATCAAGAGTATATAAATTAAAGGGGCAAATTCATCAAGAACACTGTGTGGCGCTTCCTGGTAGTGAGCAATGTCAATAGAAACAGCTCACATTGTACTATTAGAAGTCCTAGCGATTGTTTAATAATGATATAATACATGCATTATATAAGAGCAAGCAAAGCCTATTATAGGTTAATTGGCAAAAGAAATCATTACCAAATGAAATATTTCACTAAGTTTCCCAACTCAGTAGAGAACATAATCCTTTCCTTGTCAGCATAACAATACCAGTGAGTAAAGATCTGATGCAATATTATTATCACAGGCCTACTTATAAAAGAGATAATAACCAGGTGTTCCTGCTACCCGATGGAATAAGAAGCTAATGAAATCTTGCAGGTGTGCAAAATACATTGTTAAACTATTCAAGGCCCAACCCGCTTTTCAGACATTTATAACCCTAATAGGCATAGCTCCTAGATAGAATGTTCATAAGCACTACCATTTTATTTTTAAATGTTTTATTTTATTTTATTTTAATTTCTTTGACTGCTGTGAGCCACCCACAGTCATTGAGAGTTGGGTGGCATACAGGTAATAACCCTGCAATGATATCTTTATCATCAACAAACATGAACATCTGCCTATCCCAGGTTCTTGGGAAGAACTCAATAGGTGGATAAAAATGCCAAATCCAGTCTAAATGTTTGGATGACTATGCAACCAGCCATAAAAACATCTGGCTGACTGTGCAATCAGCCTTAATAAGAATTACAATAATAAGCTACAAGCAGGAACTGACCATCTATATTCTAGCAAGTCTACTGCTTTTCTGAGGGGCGCAAATATGCATCTCTCTGAGTTCCAACCCACTGATGGACATGGAATCCATTCTGATGCAGCTAAAGTTCTGTTCTTGTCTTTCTCTATCCTGTCTTCTCATTAATTTTATTGCTACCACTAACACTGCTTGCCTGAGACAATGGTCATTTTTTTTCCAACTGTATACTCTCAAAAAAATGCAACCCTTCATTTTTTAAAAGTTAACATGCTTATCTGATATTATTTTTTTCTTTTCTGGAGTTATTTTAAATAATTTTTCAGTGTTTGCAATATAAATTTAGATCTATAGAACAATGATGTCTATGGACTACTCATAGTCTTCTTAGTGGTCCTGTGGGGAGGGAAATGAATATTTTCCAACCTATCAGTTAAGTTTTACATCAACCCACTTTGAGGTAATAATGTAGGGCCTTTCCCTCAATTTGTCTTAATGTTTTCTCCTCAGCAATCTTAGAGAATATATTTCATAATTTGGAAGATGGGATTTGCCTTTGCGGCACAAGGGATATTCTGCTGTATTATCATTTATTATATTGCTCATTCTGTTAAGGTATTTATATCATTCATAGAACTCTGTTTTTTACTAACAAACCAGATATATCTTATTGTTAGGTAAATATTACTGTTAAGGCTCAACCACATATTCTGCTTGCCACAGCGCAAGGATATCACACTAACTATTCACAGAGGACTTTCTTCGTAACATTACCTCCATCTCATTGTTAGCCAACTGCTGAGGCAGTCTGGACTCATTTCAGATGTTCGGAAATGCAAGTAGTATTTTCCCCATTATCCTGACACAAAAGTCCCCAAGAGCACAATCTAAGATGCTTAGAAGAGACCTGGAATAATGTAATGAAGCTTGGTTCTGTTCAATTGGCCCACTAGATGTACTGTGACACAATAGCAGAGCATAGCACTGTTCCGAGTGCACATTCAAGGCAGGCTGTGGGAACCACACAGACTAAATTGATATGATTTTTCTCCCATCTCTAACATACGAGAAGAATTCAGCAAAATGGTTGTATGGATGAGCCCTCAATGTGGCCCAATTTTATGATGCGGCTGGTTGAGTGCATCAACTGAATCTTTAAGAAATTGGTTTAGTGATTCAATCTCTTGAGTTTTATCTGAATCTTGCCAATGGATTTTTGTGTCAATGTTTTTTTTCCCCTTGGTTTGTTTCTTCTTTTGAATTGGTCAATGATTGTAGCAAAGATTTGTCTGATAGGAAAAAAAATGCTCGGATTTTAGTTGGCTTAATACTTTCCTCTTTAACTCAAGGGCATGTGAAGGGTGATGTCCATTGTCTGAAATTCTAGTACTTCTCTCACAGGCTCAGAGAGTGGCCTTGAAAAGAAAGCCAATATATTTTGTTTAAAACAACTTTAAGTATGTATGTGAGAAAGAGATATGACTGAGAAAGAGTGTATGTGAATGTTCAGCCACTGCCTTCTTTTTAGGGCTGAGCTCGCGTGAGGTGAGTGACTCAAAGTCACCTAGCTGGTTTTGTATCTAAGGTGGGAAATAGAGTTCACAATATAATTTCTGATGCCTTAATCTCTACATCAAACTGTTTCTCAATTATATGATAAAATATGCACATATTAATTCAATATGGACTCTTCATTCTCAGCTTTCTGGGATAACTTAATTGAAAAAGCAGCAAATAAAATAGCAATTAAAATCAATTTTAATTTAAATTAAGCAATTAAAAAGAGCCAGTATGGACTAATGGTTATGGCACCAGGAATCTGCGAGTTCTAAGCCCCTTCTAGGCATGAAAGCTGGCTGGGGGACTTTGAGCCAGGTACATTCTCAGTCCAATCCACCTCACAGGGTTGTTGCTGGGAATATAGGAGGAGGAAAGAGTATTAGGTATGTCCACCACCTTGAGTTGTTTATAAAAATAATAAAGATAGGGCAAACATAGACAGGGCAAACATAGACAGCCAGTCATCCAGCCAGCCAGCTATATGGAACTCAGTTAGAACCCACAATCTATTATTATTATTATTTTTAATTTGATTTATATGCCGCCCTTCTCCAGAGACTCAGGGTGGCTTACAATGCGTTAAGCAATAGCCTTCATACTTTTGTATATTTATACAAAGTCAGCTTATTGCCCCCACAAACTGGGTCCTCATTTCACCTACCTTAGAAAGGATGGAAGACTGAGTCAACCTTGAGCCTGGTAAGATTCGAACCTGCAGAAATTGCAGGCAGCTGTGTTAATTACAGGGTGCATTAAACCACTGTACTACCAAGGCTCTTATTGTGCTTATTGATTGTTCATGATATTATAGATGTCATATAGATAGTGGTTTTGGGGGGAAAAGGAAGATACTGTTGGAGATTAGGAAGGAAGATTTATTTTTGTGTCTAGAAGTAGAACCTTAGCAAAGCTTGAAGAGAAAACATACCTTTGGCAGATCTCTTTGGTAGAACATTATTTGCTAGTTAGCAATTGATCTTGTGCTCTTTTCATGGGACCTCAATATGACATTTAAGAAGAAAGTTAGTCAATAAAAACAAAATACTCACCACCTGCATGGAGGACAGCTGTCATGATGGAGGGGAACCATGATGTCTCACTATTGGTAGCGTGGAAATCACGCTGCAGATCCTTGAAGAAGACTCCAATGCATGAAGGAAAACCCAGTGTTAGACCTTGAACCAGCACTGTGGCTACTAAGACCATCCAAGCCCATCCTCGATCCTGGTCTTTGATGCTTCTCCTAGGAGATGCTTCTTCTTCTTGGAGCATCTTTGCAAAGTGTCTTTTCATAGAATACCTAATTGGAAGATAGCAGGCAAATGAGGAGACGAACGACAATCGGATCAGTGCTAAGGTGACAGCAGTGGAGCTATTGAACTACAGTTCATGCAGAAAGTAGTTCATTTCGGTTTTAATAGAGAGCTTCCCAGTCACAATCTCTTGGAATCACACCAACCCATTTTATTTTGTATGTTTTGCTTTTATGTCACAAGATTGTAAATGCCAGTAGGTAATGGGTTAGGCACACTTCTAGTGGCAAAAAACCAAATTGTAGTACTCGGTTCTCATTGATTTTACCTTTCATCTGCTTTGGGCTCATGGAGTTTCCTCATTGTCTCAACTGAATATCATAAATGTTTTGTGTCAGGAAAAGGCAAAGTTTGTAAATCTCAATTATTTGTTTTTCACAACCAGTCTTTTAACAAATGTTCTTCCACAATTTTTGCTTCTCTTGAGTGCAATGTTAGGTATTTGGATAGCAGGCTTTAAATTTCACATCCCTTCTATTATGCCACTTCATTGTCTCAACTAAGTGTCATAAATGTTTTGTGTCAGAAAGTGGCAAATTTTGTAAATCTCAACTATTTTTCACAAGTAGCCTTGCAGTGAATGTTCTTGCACAAGTTCTGCTGCTCCTGGGTGTAATGTTTGGATAGAAGGCTTTAAATTTCACATCCCTTCTATTATGCCAGTGTTTCTCAACCTTAGCCGCTGGATGATGTGTGGACTTCAACTCCCAGAATTCCCTAGCCAACAGAGCTGGATGGGGAATTCTGGGAGTTGAAGTCCACACATCATCCAGCGGCCAAGGTTGAGAAACACTGTATTATGCCATTTCCTTGTCTCACCGAGTATCATAAATGGTTTGTGTCAGGAAGAGGCAAAGTTTGTAAATATTTGTTTTTCACAACCAGGCTTGCAGTGAATGCTCTTGCAACAAGTTCTGTCACTCTCGGATGTAATTTCAGGTATTTGGATAGCAGGACTTAAATTTCAAATCCCTTCCACTATGCCATTATGCATTTTAAGGATATATTCACACATATATCCATTAACATCCTTTCCATAAAATATCTGTAATGGTTCAAATACTGATAGAAGACTGATATCTTCTATTGCCTATCTATATAAGTATAAGAAATGTTTTTTTCATTTCATTTATTCGAATTTCTATACCGCCGTTCTCCTTTCGGACTCAGGGCGGTGAACAGCCAGATAAAAAACATCTATACAAACATCACAGTTAAAAATAAAGTTAAAATAATTTATAAATTTGGCCCATAATTTAAAACTTGTCAATTAAAATAAATATTAAAATTTTAAAACTAACCCTAAAATCAGGACAGACCGGCTAGCTGAAAAAAATGAGTTTTTAGGGCCCGACGAAAAATCCGGAGGTCGGAGATCACTCGTATCTCTGGGGGTAGATTGTTCCATAGGGTAGGTGCCACCACAGAGAAGGCTCTCCTCCTGGGGGTCGTCAGCCGGCATTGTCTGGCCGACGGCACCCTGAGGAGGCCCTCTCTGTGGGAACGAACCGGCCGGTGGGAGGCTATTGGTGGCAGAAGGCGGTCCCGTAAGTACCCTGGCCCTAAGCCATGGAGTGCTTTAAAGGTGATCACCAACACCTTGAAGCGCACCCGGAAGTCCACCGGAAGCCAATGCAGCTCGCGCAGGAGAGGAGTCACATGGGAGCGCCCCATCGCTCCCATAATCCCCCGCGCAGCCGCATTCTGCACCAGTTGGAGCCTCCGGGTGCACCCCAAGGGGAGCCCCATGTAGAGAGCGTTACAATAGTCCAGACGAGAAGTGACGAGTGCTTGAGTGACCGTGCGTAGGGAGTCCCGGTCCAGAAAGGGGCGCAACTGGCGTATCAGGCGAACCTGACAAAAAGCCCCCCTGGCCACGGCTGTCATATGCCCTTCTAAGGACAGCCGCGCATCCAGGAGGACACCCAAGTTGCGGGCCCTCTCCGTGGGGGCCAATGATTCGCCCCCAATAACCAGCGATGGCGTCAGCTGGCTATACCGGGACGCCGGCAGCCACAGCCACTCGGTCTTGGAAGGGTTGAGTCGAAGCCTGTTTCTCTTTGGGTGTTACTTGTGAAGAAATCTAAAGAGAAACTTAAGATCTCATAAAGGACACATGTAATTTGTAGGCTACAGGAGTTCATAAGACCAAAGCACCATATGTTTATTTTACATGAAATAGAGACGCAGAAATAATCTGCTTGAATAAATAAGATATATTTATTCTGCAGGGAGAAATATGTAGGGCGATCATTTTAGCCAGCCACCAATAGCCAAGAAAAGCAAATATACATATTGTCAGGAACAGGATTGTATTGGTGTACTTCAGAAGTGGTATTCAGCAGGTTCTGAGCAGTTCTAGAGAACCGGTAGTGGAAATTTTAAGTAGTTTGGAGAACCGGTAAATACCACCTCTGACTGGCCCCGCCCCCATCTATTCCGATGGGATAAATGGCCTCCCGAATCCCAGCTGATTGGGAAGAAATGGAGATTCTGCAGTAACCTTCCCCTGAAGTGGGGAGGGAATGGAGATTTTACAGTATCCTTCCCCTGGAGTGGGGTGGGAATGGAGATTTTACAGTATTCTTCCCCTGCCATGCCCACCAAGTCATACCACACCCACCAAGCCACGCCACAGAACCGGTAATAAAAAAATTTGAATCCCTCCACTGGTGTGCTTGAAAAATACCATGTGCCTAAAATCACCAGGAAATACTTCACAGTTTCAAGGACAAATGTCAGCATTCCTTCCTCCAATTCCTCCTTCAAGCAAGATAAATTAGCCTGTATAGCTCTCTTACAGACATTTCTTTATTTTGTTATTTATTTGATTAAGGGCTTTTTAAAATCCTACTTTTCAGGGTAGGAATCAAGTTTTTTTAAAACAATCTCTGCCCACAAACTTGCAACTTTAAAAATCTGACACGAAGAGAGAGGAGAGAGAGAAAAATAGAGTGAAGATTAGTAAACTTTAATATTCTTTCTTAGAAAGAATTGAATAATTAATTAAATAATTAAATAAGTATTCTTGTATAATTAAGCTGCATACAGGGAATGGAAAATTAGATGGAGGCTAGCTTGGAATTAAACAGAGGTGATGTGACTCTGCTCCCATTCCCAAGTCTCTTTGATGCAAATGCCATTGCTACCAGGCCAATTGAGGTGGGAATCCACAATGCCTCTACTGTTAGGCAACTAGAGCTAAATGGGGGACCTGCTGGCAGCAGTCTGTTTTCAAATCCATGAATCCTATCAAAAGCACTAGTAGTACATGTGTCTCTTTTGACTGACCTGGATCTGGAAGAGAATGCTCCTGAATCTGGAAGAGTAAAGACTGTGCTGATCTTTCCTTTGTACTTTGGTATAAAATCCCATACCAAATTTGCTCCTTGAAATGTATGTTCCATATTGCTGCATAACCTTTGTTCAGATTAATGCTGAACAAAGAACATGTAGCTGCAGGATCCAAGTTTCCACATGAGGACCAAAAGCAACTCTTTTGAATCTGTACATGCCCAACAAATCGCTTTCCACTCCAGATTCATTGAGTAAACTGATTGGAGAACATGTGTCATGGGCTCTTTGTGGAAGGTATTAGTGCAATTGGTTTCTTAGGTAACCTTTGTAATCACAATCTAGAATTCTGGACAGAATGGAGGAATCACAGGACAATCTCATTATTACAAGAATGGTTCATAATGGCAATAGGGTTTCAGTATTATAGTCATACTTAATACATTGATCCTAAATCATTGTTTATTTTAGAATTATCCTAAATGCATGCAAGAATACACATGCAAAATTAGCGATCTACAATTTTACAATACATTAACAGGAAGATTAGTATATGTTGTTTTTGATTTAAGTAGTTTATTTGAAAAACACTCAGATGTTTCTACTTTGAAACCGCTTTTGGGGTTTGTGCTTGAGGTGGAAAAAAATGAAACTTTGATTTTGTGTTTTGCTGATTAGATACTGTAAGTTTGTTGTTGTTATAGATATGATCAGTACATATTGCTATATAAAAGTAGAGCTTGTACATTATTATCTTATTCTAAAGGACTACCAAAAGGAGTCAGCAGTCAATGCTTTTTTTTCTTCTAACCGTACACTTTTTCCTCTTCCCCTTTGCCTTCCTTATTTTTCCATTATTTTCTTTTTATTTCTCTATTTTATATTTTGATAAACTAATAAAAATATAACATATAATAGTCTGTTTTATTAATGGGAAAGAAAAACTATTTCCTTTGGATTATAATCTGGTGCTTGCTCACAGACAACGTTCAAAATAAACCACTAGCAAAAGCAGTGAGTAACTGGCATAAGCACTTGATCCAGATTGTATAACCAAGCTCAAGATACCGCCCTTTAGTCATGCACACCGTCTCCAGTCCAAACTTCGTTTTTATACAGCTCAGAGCCCACATTGGATTGGACCCCCCAAAATCCCACAAAGTATACTAAGTCTTTATACAGATTTATTTTAGGAGCTGAGCAGGATTGGCCTTGATTAGTATTTCTAAGTCTGTTTTCTAGTCTAGGAAGTTAAAAAAAAAAAAAAGACAGAAGAAAATACAAAAGGCAAACCTCATTCATTACACAAAATTGAATGGATGCAATCAGCAAGAATGGAATTCATCTCCCCCACCCCATCCCGAAATGATTCTTATACATAGACGTGGGATAATTATCACACTGCCTAGCCACCTATGGCTGCTCAATATATTTTAAGTTTGCCACAAGAAGGTTGCCTGTTATGTTCAGCACGTTTTCATTAAGCAGACTCAATGACTAAGCAAACATTAATTTGACATCAGGAAAGGCATTATTAAGGAATCAGTTGAGGAACACTTCCTTCTCTATGCCAGGACATACTGTGATCTACCCTTCAAGCATCCATTCTTGATCAATTTTCAAAGGAAAATTGAGCAATAAGCCACCAAATTAACTGGAAAACATTACTTGTGACTCTGGCATCTTGAACAGGGATGTTTCTTAGACCACCCTTACATATATTCATTAGATCACAGCCCCCAGCAAGTTTTTACTATCAGCAGCAAGCGTTTTATGAATGGCCTTGTAAATAACACTTCCTGCATCTTATCACTTCTTACTCAACCCACCTGCAACTACACGGGCACACATTTCATGCTCAGGCTAACATTTCCGGCTGCTAATGTAATGAATAGTAATAAAAGATTTTTAAAAAGGAATTGCGATCCAAGGGCTTCAGAATTCACTTGTCAAGACTAAAGCAGGGGTGGCCCTTCAGTGAAATAGCTGCTCCAACTACTATTCCAGTACAAATAGAACTGGGGCCCTCCACTACCACCTGCAGCCCCCCCTCTGTTTATTACCTCAGCAATTGATTCATTGGGCCCAGAGGGGCATGTCATGCTGAAGGTGTCTGTGGCATTTGCCTGCACAGGTAGCTGCTATGGCCACGATGCCATAGTTAGTGCTCCAAGGACTTCCTTTATAGGTTAGCTGGTAAGATCTCTTGGGTCATCCCAGTAAGCTGCCTTACTTTCTTCTGCAGCAATACGTTTAAAAGGCTACCGCCCTCTGCACATTTCTCTCTTCTTGATTTGCTGTTGGATTTTTCTTACCCTGAGTAATTTTATATAACTCAAGTGAAATTTTCTAAATACTGCAGTGGAAGAACCACCAGGGGCTTCTAAAGAGTTCCTATGGTTAATATCAGTGGTGAAATATAAAATTTGTTACTACTGGTTCTGTGGGCGTGGCTTGTGTGTGTGTGGGGTTTAATGTGACTGGATGGGTGTGGCCAACTTTTTTTTTTTTTTTAAAAGCATTTTTCTACAACCTTAAGAGGTTGTAGAAAAAATGCTTTTAAAAGACTCTGATGATCAGGCAACTCAGCTGGGATCGCCAGAGGCTTTTAAAGGCATTTTTTTCCTACAACTTCTTCGCTGAAGAGGTTGGAGAAAAAAATGCTTCTAAAAGCCTCTGACGACCCAGCTGAGCCGCGAGATCATCAGAGGCTTTTTTTTTCTTTTAAAAGCATTTTTTCAGCTGAAGAGGTTGTAGAAAAAATGCTTTTAAAAGTAAAAAAAAAAGTATCTGATGATCGCGTGGCTCAGCTGGACATGTGGGGGGGGGAGTTTAGGGTTAGGGTTAGGGGCAGGGATTTTTGCTACCGGTTCTCCGAACCACCCGCCACCATTGCTACTGGATCAGGCGATCCGGTCCAAACCGGGAGCATTTCACCCCTAGTTAATATTTTTAAAAATTGCCCTTAAATAGCTGAGTAGAATTGTAACTGACTTCCATATTATTTAGAAACAGAGTGCATTTTCTGAATATGCACTTCACTATATCCTATCCATGTCGCAACCCTTATCCAACTATTTAAAGGAGTATCACTTTGACATACTGTAGACACTGATTTATTTCTAGCCTATCACAGCCTGTTCCCTTTGTCATAGGAGTAACTTTTATCACTTTATTTAAACAAACACATTTTTAAAAATAATGCTAACATCCAGTCTGGCTTCTTTTGTTATATTGTCATTAGTATATAAAACACAATTTAAATGATTTTTTTTGCAAGCACTCACCTTTATAATACTAATGTTTAAACTTTTTGGTCATGTTCATTAATTCTATTATAGTAAAATAAAATGAGAAAGGGTTTTTTCACATTTGTAAAGTTGGTTATAGAAGTACACAAGAATAATGCTATAACATACTCATTTAACTGATGTTTAATTGTTCCTTTAATATTTAAGAAAATGTAGTTTTAAATAATACAAAATTTGCTGATAACCAAGAGAAAAAAGTGATGATACCTACAAAGGGAAATATGCACAGAACAATGACAAATTTCTTTGTCTGACATTTTAAAAAGCTTCTTTTAAAAAGTCAGCATAATAGCACAAAAAGATTTAACTTTCTGAAGGCTATATTACTCCAGCCTTTAAAAAGATGTTCTCACAGTAAAAAGAAAAAGAAAAGACAAAAATATGCTGGAAAAACAAATGAGGATTTTCAGAGAATTTCTTGAGTGCATAAACTTGTGCAATCATTTGTCAGTGATTTCATAAGTTTTCATTTGGAAGCACTTAGTATCTGAACATAGCACTAGCCATCAATCCAGGAACAAATGCACTGGAATAGAAGAAATGCAACAAGACAGCTACACTGGAAAGTCAACAGTTTTTTAGAAAAAGAGTGAACATGAAAGGGCTCCCCTCTAATTCCCCAAATCAAGTGTACGGTCAGATCTAACTATACAGCTCTACATCAGTTTCTAAAACTTAACAAAAAAACACTGGCCAATACAGTCTGCCCTAGGTCATAAGGCAGAGGTTTTAAAACTTTTTCAGGCTGTAAAATGGTTAAGGAAAAAATTCCCGGAACTAAAAAAGAATTCCCATAACCCCTGATCCAGAAGCAAAGTTTTAACCAGAAAATATTGACTGCATTCAAATGAATCTCCCCCACCCCACCCCCGCAATTTTTCATGGAGCTCCACAAAGTTCTCCAAGGACTCTGGGACTCCAGGAAGGTAGTTTGAAACACCTCCGCTACAAGGTACGATTTGATGACTTAATCAGTTTATGGGTGAAGGCAGTATCAAGTGCACAGATCTCTCAGCTGCTCTCCCCATGACAGCATTTCGCAACTCAACTTGCCTCTCCAAAGAGCAGAAACGGCGCTAGTTTCCTGTTCTTATAGAGATCTTGTCGCCTTCGGCTTTCCGAAAATAATCATCACTCCTGTTTAGTCTGGATCTTTGTGCATTAGTTTTCAGAGCCCACCACGGGGCCATGACGGAAACAGGCCTCTCTCTGTTTTAGCGCCAAGGTGGGAGCCCTTCTCTCCAGAAAACACGGTCGGGGGTGAGGGGTGAGGTTGATTTAATCATAATCGAACTCTATCTTGGGGATTCCCATCTCTGTCTTAAGCGACGGTCTTAGACAATCGGCCAACTTCCTGACTGCAGAGATCGATTAGGTTTCAGGTTGGGATCCAGGCAACAGAGCGGGAGAAGCTGCTTTCTCGTGTGAAAACTGAAAAAAGCCCAAACCTCGCTGCCTGCCCTTTGAGAAGAAAGAGAAAGCTGCTGTCCCAGACACGTGTTGTTGGATCCCTCCCCCGCGTCCCCAGTTGATTACACGCCGATGGGTCCACTGGTGGGGAAGCGAAAAAGGAAAGAAAAGAAAAGCCCCTTGGGGAGATGGATCGCAGCTTTTAAGATTCCGCGTCCCCCCCCCCCCTCTGTTCAAAAAATCTCGCCGAAGTGACTCCGGCTCAGGATCCCAGCCGATCGACTGACTGCCTCTTACCTGCTCAGCCCGGGCAAGGGGAGAAGCGCGAGGCTGACGGCTCCCTCCCTGGCGGGGAGTCCCCGGGGCACCTTCCTTTCACTTCTCCCGCTCCTCTTCCCAGCGGGGCCGCCGGGTGAAACAGCTTTTTAACTCTCGCCGCCGTGACTGCCGGCGGCAACAGAGGAGGCGGAGGAGAAGAAGGAGGAGACTCGCGCGTGGAGAACATAGATTATCTCTGGTTGCTCGACCAACCCAGGATGACAGAGGTCAATCGAGGAGTCTCTGCCTGCCTCCCAAGGTGCCTTGTTTGCCGAAGGGTTGACCCTCTTTCCCGAAGATCGCGTGATCAAGGAGTAAAGGTGCGCTTGGGCG